ACCTCTTTTTCTTATATATAATGCAAAATTGTATACGAAGAACAATCTATAAATAATAAAGAAAAATACTTTCTTATCTTTTCAATTCAATTTAACAGCATGAAGATACCCTGATCAAGTCAATGGAAACAGTTAGGATCCTGCTAAAAACACGGTGTATCATATTAGTAAAATCATTACTCAAACGCAACCTATCGACACGATATTTATCGAAGTAGATCTAAGACCACGAAAATAATAAAAATATTCACGCACTCACAGCAAAATGAAGTCAAACAAACCGCTATTCTTCATCATTATTGTATCAGAAAGATAAAGAATCAAAAATAATAATAAAAAAAAAATTAATCTTCGACGTCAAACTCGCCGGTTTCATAGCGCTCCCTATTACGCCCATGCTCGCCTCTAGACTCATATCCACCAGGAGGTACCTTAGAGAAGAAATCCTCATGTAAATCCTCAGAAACCAGTGGAAGGTCCAGCTTCCCAACTGAAAATTCCGACACCGCGGCCATATCAAGTTCGGCTCCCAATTCAACCTTCTTAGCTCGAAGGTGCGATAACTCGTCAGAAGCAAGTAGATTGTTGTTCATTTGTTTCCTTAATAAGGTCGATATTAGCCATAACCTCCTTCAATCGAATCTCACAATCCGTTGCAGCCTTCTTCCTTACCCATTTCTCCTTCAAAGACATCAAAACGTCTAGATAGCCGTCGCCCAAAGTCTTTTTAACGTCATAAATCGCACGATGATTTTCATCCGCGTGACCCACGGTCAAAGATTCAATCTGCATTCCCTCTCATTCCCAACGACCCGAAGGCGAGCCTCAACAGAAGCAGCCTGGTTCCCCTATCTTTCAGCTGCTGACAATTGAGAGACAGTGGTACGCTCCCGGTCCTGCGTCATCTTCAAGCTAAGCTTCAACTCTCAAACAACTTTCTTGACCTCGTAAAGCTCGTCGGTTCAGGGGATATCCCGCAGACGCTTTTCCAAAGTCGCCGCGAACTCATTATTAGCTTCCATAGCCTAAAAATGCATCAGGAATACGCACAACAATTAAGTAAGTATCGAAGATCAAAAGACCAGATCAAAAGACCAGATCAACCGACCTTAGCATGTGCGACCGCCATTTTTACATAAGTGTTGTGCTCAGTCATGATCCGCAACAAAGAAAGGGGACACCCCGCTGGCTTGAAATGCCTGACCAATTGTCGGGATCGTCTGTGATTGGACAATCCTTGGCGTGGGAAAACTGCCAGTGGAACGGCTGTGCGACCGCACCTTCACTCGCGAGGCCGGGTCGAGCATCATTCCCTGAAGTCTCCGCCTTCTTCGGAGGACGATCTCGTCCCCTCCGAGATATTCGGACTACCAGAACTCAAAAGAGTTGCGGTCTTTGGTTCATCTGAATCCTTGGCTTCGGATCGAGCAGTAACGTGAGGAAATCGAGGTTCCTCGCGAAGAACCTCTGTGAGTGCTTCACTCACGTCACCAGGACGAATCCGTCCCACTCCATAGTTCCGGTTTCCAATTCTTTCGCACTCACGGGATTTAGTTTTCCTTGGTGTCATGATCAACGATAGAAGGAAAATGACTTTCGAGAATACGAAGATAGAAGAAACGAATTTGATATTTATAAAGAAAAAGTAAAACGAATATTATCAGCTGAAAAAGGATAAAATCTCAAAAATTCAGAAGGATAAAGATATTATAAGTTCATGATTATCAATAGAACATTTTTTAAAAAAAAAGGAAACAAAAAAAATACACCGCGAAGAATCTGATTTAGAATAAAAAAAGAGAGAAAAAGAAAAAGATAAGTCTAAGAATCAGCTCCATCCTCGAAAGAAGAGTCTGCGACAACTGAATCACTAGAGACCTCGGAGAGATCCAAATCCGAGACAGACCAATCCGCAACGGCAGCCAGCTCGCCGAGGCCTTCACGTCTTTATCTCCTTGAGATGAGCTAGTTCATCATCGATGACCAATCCGCCATCATTTATCTCATTCAGCAGGTCGATCTTCGCAATCACCTCCCTCAACTGAATCTCTGCGTCAGTTTCCTTCTTCTTATCCGACCACTTCTTCTCCGGAAGGGTCAGATCCTCCTTGTAGCGATCAGCGATATCAGGTTGCATGGCACGAGACTCGCGATGGATGTTCCGCTCCCTCTCTGCAAGAAACTCTGAAACCATGGTCTTTTGATTAGCAACCTCGGTCTCAAATACCATCCTCTCTTCGCGAGCCTTCCTCCACTCATCCTTCAAATACGCAGCTTCTCCAGTCTTCTTCTTGAGATCCTCCTTAACCTTACGAAGAGATTCTCTGAGACTCTTCGCTTCAGCCTGCGACCTCGCTAGATCTCTCTCACCACGGCCCTGAAACATTACTACAAACTCGTCGACGGCGACCATAACCTACAAAGTATCCAGAACGTCATAACAAGAATGATTCACTTAGAATACGACAAAAAAGAACATAACTAACCTTGGAATTGGCGTCCGAAATCTTGGCATACGCATCCCTTTCCTCAAGAGAAGCCGGAGGAAGAATAGAAGGACTCGGAGCCGACGAATTGCGACTTCGAAGAGAAAATTATCGGCGCTTGCGGTCAATGGCAGCATAGTCCTCCTCTGAACCAGGACTAAGAGAGATCGGGGATCCTCCTGCTTAAGAGGTCCCCTCGACGTCAGAAACCAGAATTGGGATCAAGGTCGAATCCTCGAGTTCTCTGCTCTCCGCAACGCGACTCCGGTTTCTGAACTATGACCTTCTGGCCAACTGCCTATCCGACCTGGCGGAAGGAGGAGGATCGCTAGAAGTTCCCGTGATATCCTTGAGCCTGATCGAGCGGCTGGTAATAGTCGGTGCTTGGTTGGTCCCATCCAGAAGCAAGAAGGCAGCGCGGATTCGTTCGCCGTTGAAAGACGACCAATCCGGGCGATCTCGTTGTAACATCGTCAACAAACCGCGGAGCTCGTTCGTCATTGGAGAGTTCCCGGAATGCACTGGAAATCATAAAACGACTTCAGAAGTCAGATATTAAAGGCAAGAAATAGTGTATATAATATAAGAACCAGAACTGACATATATCGGCAAACCAAAGTCGAGGAATCCTTTCGAAGTCAAAATTACCCATTGACGAATGATCGATCTTGAATTTATTTGTCATAATAGGCAAGACTTTGTTTTATCTAGCCAATTCGAAACGGAACTCTATCACGGTATGGAAAACCCTTGATAACATGGCGTCCTACGCGAGGCGGCATAAGAAAAGTCTCCGGGCTCTGATTGTTCCTATTCAACAAGCACAAGTGGCGTAACTCCTCTAAACCGAATCTCAAGCCTTCTTCACGAGCTCTAACCACAAGTGCCAAAAAATGCCTCAAAAAGTTTGGGCACATCTGAGATATACCCAATTCAGTCACAATCTTGAGGGGTGGGCCAGGAATCAGGAAGAAAAGACCACAAGATTCAAAGAACGAAAGATATGCTCCGCAAAACCTCTCGCGAATAGTTTTAGGGTCTCAAGCGTAGTGGCTAGTTCGAGCTTGATGCTCCGATCAACGCTGCATTCCGTATATAAAGCCTAAAGATGAGCAGCGGTATTCGTCGAAAGAGGGAAAGTGAATGATGCATCCATCTTTGTTTAAAGAAAAATGAAAATCGCACCAGCAAGAAGTTTCGAAGAGAAAGAAAAAAGTTAGAAGAGAAAGAAAAAAGTTAGAAGAGAAAGAAAGATCTCCAGTATTTATAAGGCAATTCACCGACACCCAAAAACGACTCTATCATTAACAAGGAGATAATGATTAGGTTTCTCCTCGAAAACGGCACAAGTAGCCGTTAGAGACGCACACCAACGGTCCATCGATGGGGAGAAGACACATGTCGGGTTCTTGTCGCCACATAAATTAAACCGTTTCTTGTCGATTGAGTCTGAATAAGCTATCTTCATCTATTAATAAAAGAAAAAGATTGGGGGAAAAATGTTGGACCCAATTTCGGTACCTAGCTAAAAAAGCCCAAGCCCACCTAAGATAATCACGAGCTCGACATCAACCAGACTCTATGAGGTCGAAATGATATCCTGGAGATCGCGGAAGCAGTTGGAGGAGGAGAATGCTATAAAAAGAAGCTAGAATAGAGTATAACACACACGGAAAACTCTAGTGATATTCACTAATCACATCGACCTCACTCCATAAATCTTTAGTTCGCTTGTTACTTCTACTTTTCATTTTTGTTTTCGATCTTGCTCATCACCTTATAAACGAATTCCATATTCAATAAAAATCCATTGTCAACCGAATTTCGATTGTATTGTTGTGTTTAAGAGCATCGTTGCCCACATTATTTATCTTTCCTTGATTAAATTCTCTATCATTACAAAATACTTAGTATGGATTTAAGGATCTACAATAATAAACAAACAAACATACCGTCTCACAAACAAACATACCAATTTCACACTTTTAACATGTTGAACTTCGTATGTTTTGCCCAGATATAGTATACTCATGACATAGTTTCGATTTTTACATGTTTTTATGTTTCACCCCCTAAGAACACTGATTACTACCTCGTCGCCATAGTAACCTTCCAATCACCGTTAAACTGGACGAGCATACAGCCAGGCGACGCGTTTTCGAACATGACCACTAATATTGTTATGCCACAATTGTTATAACTTTTTATTGAATTTATGCTTCACGCTCATTTGATTGATAAATCATTTGAATGGTACATACAACTTTTAAATTTAATGTTGGATTGGTTAAAAACAAAAAAATTCATGGTTTGGGGAAGAAAAAAAACACATTGGAATGTGCACTCATGCTCTCCCATTACACGACTTGATCCAACAATCAACTAGACCATTTTTAGCCTTGTGTGGATAGTCAAGTCAACCAATGCCTAAATTGAAGTTTGATCACCTTCTTATCGTCTCATGGCAGTCAATCATTATCTAAAAGACGAAAATACATGTCTAAGAAATCATGAACAGGTTGAAGTTTCTTCTTTCACTGACAACAATCTTATGGTGTTTGACATTGGATGCATCAATCAAACATATCTAAACAGGCAAAGCGAAGAAGATTAGCTAAATACTAATGTTACATTGTGAATCCTTACTACTTCATCAAAGCATCAACTGCTTTGTGTAAGGAACTAGTACGATTTGATCCTCCTGGACGTTTAAACAGTGAGTGAGGTCCGTTCCAGACAGAACTGTGGTTGTTGCTGTTAGGAAAAATAGTCTCGCAGAGATTTAGAAGCTGAGGGTTTCTGAGTTGGAACTTCTCATGCATCTTAGTTCTCCATTGTTTACGCTCTAACTCCTGCTGTTCCTGCAATAACACAATTAATCACATTAGTGCTTGCCGCTCTATGAAGACATCATAAGAAAACTCGGAAAGTACCTTCTGCTCTCGGAGTCGTTTTGCCTTCTCTTCCTCTTCATTCTGAGTTAATTTTGGACCCTCAACGGAAGCTAAAACAACCAATTTCTCCGCAGCACTAGTCACGGGCTCCTCACCAGTCTCTTCTGTCGATTTATCAATCGATTGGGTCTTATCCTGGACAATAGCCTTGGTTTTAGTTTCATTCTCCACCTCAAGGGTTTCCTCTTCCTTTTGTTCTTCTTCCTCCACATCTTGTTTATTTTCACTAACTCTTTGTCTTTTTGCCACCGGACTATCTAGTTCCACGATTTCTGTTTTTCCTTGTCTAGTTTTGTTGTCAACATCAACATCCATGTCCTGCTCCTCACGCATATTTATTGATGAATTATCCACAGACGGACTTCTAATAGGTGAAGATTCCTTCAAGAAACAAAAATCTTTAGTTAAAAAGTTTACTGACTCAGCTTTACTTTACATTGCAGCCAACTGATGCCACCCACGCACATGGGTTGTGTGTACTCTTTGGAAGAGATAACACATTACTAACCTCTAGTGCTCCAGAATTTCCTTGAGAACTATGACGTTCTCTTTTACGTCTCTTCAGAATACATACTGCACACATACAATCACTCTTGTGGTGCCTTCTGCAAACGAAAATAATGACTATCAAATGAAACTGATCCCGATCAAAAATCACAATCCCAGTAATAAACTATCGATACAATTGCCGAGATATATGAACTGGGACAGAAAACAGAATACAATTTGACAAAGAGAAAACCAAATTCAACTACAATGTTGGCTAAGATTGGTTATGGTTAAGCAGATCATGTTACTGGTAACTTTGTAAAAGATAACCTCTGGTCTATAAAACCTAGAAGACTGATGAAACGTTGAAACCAAACTCAGGATAACACTCAACACAAAGGAGAACACATTTGAATAAGTCCTCACGTATAAAGAAAAAATTTCAACGGCATACCCATGGCGCTTCTGACTCTTTTGCTTGGGCTGACTACCTTTGGTGGATGCATTTCCACCATCCTCTAGTTGGGCATTCTCTGATAGTAATCGAAGAAACCAAATAAGTTACATCGTAAGCTAAATTACTCAAGTCAAAGTGCATAGCTACCAGAAACAATGCAAGTACTGTATAATGTTAACACTTTCTTCATATTGACATTCTTTTTTATTCCTTAATCAAAAGCTTTATACATCTCTACATCTGGATATTCATAAGAGAACTTGAACTGAAAAAATGTAAACTAGACGTAAGGCTCACCCATTAACTCATCCATCTAACTGCTTTGGATGAATAGATTTGATTTCAGAAGAACAGTTTTAAAGGGTTCTTATTTTCTTACTAAAATGGTGGTTACTTCAGTTTAACTGTTTATGCATTTCAACAGTGACTTTCATTAGCTGGAATAAGCAATGGCCCTTGTCAATAGCACAAGATAATTTAGAAGCAGAAGCTTCAAAATATGTTCACAATGTCTACTTTATACGCCTGAGGGGAACCAGAAACGTAACTATGTATGGAGAACACTATACCAACCAATTTAACAATGCGTGAGACCAAATAGTAAAATTTAAACAGTAATTTTTAATAATACCTCCAGATAGCTCAGTATACAATCCCGCGGCAGCCCAGTACTTCATGAAATTTTTCTTCACTCGCTTCATCAGGTCCACGATGTAATCACCTTTCTTATTGTACTTGGAACAGTTATTCCAGATGAACTGGACATCCTTGTAAACATCCTCAGAATTCATATATATGTTGCCTTTTTCAAGATTACTGCATACTGTTCCAAAATCCATAGGTGTCTTGATGATGTCGAAATAGTCCTAATTACATAACCCGAAAACAGTTAAACGTGTCGGACAACAACTCTGAAACCCCTTAACAAGTAATGAAAAGATTAAAAGATGCTCCAGATGGGACTAGTAAATGAACTAAAGCAATTTTAAGTCATGTCAGTTGAGATCAAAATGATTCTCGTCTGGCCACTAAAACGCATAGAACTATTTACGTCAACATAAGTAGGTAATGGAGATATGTGAAACATAAGCAATGTATAGATGAATGGTTGAGCTTTCACAAGCCAAAGTTAATAAAGATGAAGACACTTACAGGAATCCCAAGAGCTTCTGGGTCCACAGGAACATTAAAGGGATCAGCAGCTTCCATCTTCATAATCTTCTTGACCACCTAAGACATATATGACACAATTAGCTTTGGTACTCAAGCTGAATTGTTCATACCATAAAAAGAAGAAAGTGAGAAGATAGATACTGTAAGAGAATCTTCGAGTTCTTGCTTATTGTATCGCGAACTTTGATCAGTCTTCTTCTGTTCATTCTGAGAAGAAACAGGCACACTTTCTGGTTCTAGCTTCTTGACTTGAGAACTCTCATCAGGCGTCTTAGTATCCTTATCAAGTACATTCGAATCCTGGGGCTTGACAGCAGTATCAACAGCAGTCTTCTCAGAAACTGAGCTAGATCCATCAACCGCCTTCCAAGACTTAATCTTAATACCTTTCATCTTCCTATAAACATTGAGAACAGGTTTTCTCTCAGGCAAACGAGGAGGAACAGGTTCCTCTTTCTTCTCAACCGCCACAGAAGACTTGTCTGGCTCAGCCTGAGGACTAGTATTCTTATGGACATCAATACTCAACGGAACATCAGGTTCTGGTGCTTTCGAGGTCTTCAATTTAACCTTAACACGCCCAACAGACTTAACCGGATCTGCACTGGCAGCAATAGGTGAATCGCCAGTGGGGGCGGGTGCATCAACTTCTGCCTTAGATCCATGTTCAAACTCAGCAGAACTTTGGTCAGATTCACTGTTTTGGAGTGTCTGCTTCAAGTTCTCAGACTTGGACTTTTTAGACTTGTTCCCTTTCTTATGTCCTCCCTTACGCTTCATCGTCTACCAAAGGGCAATTTTGAAGCTGAAACAATTAAAGAGCACCAGAAACCAAACATTCAAGAGTTAGTGACAGAAAATTTTCAAGTTGGAGGATCCAATTTGCCTCATATGACAAGATTAGAAGCTGGAAATCGATTGAAACCGCACTAGATTGTTCCAAATTGCAATCAAGAGATTCGATATATAGCCTATTCAAATCACGACTATGTAATCGAGCAAGCAAATCACAATAAAGAAACAGAGGGGGAGAAGATACCGGAAAGGGAAACCCTAGATCTAGGGCAAACCAGAGAACGGAATCTTGGTGCAAGAAGGAAGAGGAAGAGGGAGATTCAAATATTATTAAGAGGGTTGGAGGGAAACCAGACTTTTTACCAAACAAAATTATTAGTAGACTCGAGACCGCGCTTTCCACTTTCGAGTCACAATTCTTCGAGCGTCGCTTATTAGACCAGACGGAGCTTTTTCTTTTGTGAGTTTCAGAGTTTCTTTAACACTTACGTTGTCGTTTTAGTTAATGGGTTGTTCTGGGCCAAACCAAAAGAACACATGTGCCCAATCCAAAACAAAACAAGAGGAAAACCCAAGAAACAATTCCTCCATTGTTGTAAAATATTAAGAGGGTGAACTATACAATATATACTAGAGCTTGATTTCTGGACTGCACGAGTATTTATTTTAATAGAATAAACATATAAAATTATTCATATCAAAAGAATGTAATGATTACACATATATGCATCAATATGGATGTTGGTTTTCGATTTGTTTAATAAAATATTACAATCTATCGATAGTTTTTAAATGTCTGTAGTTTATTGGTCGCTCAATAAATCAAACAAAATGATATAACATATTCGTTAATTAGTAATCTTTAATTAGATTAGAAAACTTTATGTATTTATTTTTAAATTAAAATATAAATTATTATTATGTATATATTAATAAATCCATATTTAGAAAATTAAATATTTTATGTCAAACAAAATTTATTTCTGTTTTAATAAAACAAATATATGTCCTTAAGTTTTTGTAAGCCAAATAATTAGTTGATAATTATTAAATCAATGGTATAAGTTTTAACTATTATGATGAATGGAGGGTTATTTTCAAAATTTGTACTATAGATATAAACTGAAAATTTATTTTATAATCAAACTCCTATTGTTCTAAATATTATTATTTCTTTGCATGGTGGATGAAACTCTAGTAAAGTAGTTATATGCAATAAAAATACCCTTGTCTAAGGCCTCCACACACAATCTTAGCATATTTAACAATATATGGGGCCCAAAAAAAATTCTCATACAACAAGACAATGGTCCAATTATTTGTAGTTGTATTTATAATGTGAATTTTAGATAAATATTTAAAAGACATGGTTATCTAAGTTTATAATTTTTTAAAAATACTAATGAAATTACTAAATTTAATTACTCTCTTTCAAAGTTATATATATTTTTAATAATTACTAATGCTTTATTAAAATTCTAATCAGAGAAAAACTTATTAGGATAAAAACTGTATTTATTCTAAATTTAATTACTCTCTTGTATTACATAATGCTTTATTAAAATTCTAATCAGAGAAAAACTTATTAGGATAATAATTATGTCAAGAAAAAAAGAGTATAGAAACGTAATCTTCTCATGATAATAATGGGTATAGTTTTTTGGGAAAATTCCATATAAATACCCCAACTAAATTTTATTAAGCTTTTTAATACCCAAAATTTTTCACTATCCAATTTAATACCTCAACTAATAATTTTGCCCACTTTAATATACAAACTTTTATAACTGTGCTCATTTTAATACCCAAACTTTGTTTATTTTAATTAACAATACTAATAAGTTTCAAACAAAATTTAAAAAAATCTCCAAAATCTAAGAAAAAGTATTTAAAATTTCTAAATTTACTCTAAGATTTAAGAAAGAAGGTAAATAATCTCTGGAGAAAATTTAAATGTTTAAAAAAAAAAAAATTTTGAAGGGAAAAAAATAATTTACTTTTTATTTCAGAAAATAAACTAAATTCAATATATAAAACTTAAAAAAGTTATTACAAAACTTAAGACTATAAAAAAATTATTTAATTTCATTTCTCTAACATATAATAAAATCAATTTTTTTGGTAAAGTTTAGAAATTTTAAAAAATTTATTGGAAACTTATTCGTATTGTTAATTAATATAAACAAAGCTTAGGTATTAAAATAGACACAGTTATAAAAGTTTGTGCATTAAAATAGGCAAAATAATTAATTGGGGTATTAAACTGGGCAGCAAAAAAGTTTGGATATTAAAAAGCTTAATACAATTTAGTTGGGGTATTTATATGGAATTTTCCCTAGTTTTTTTCATAGACCACGCAAATACCACATCCCGATACCATACATGTTTTCAGTATGTCATAGTGAGAAGAGCTTTTGTGAACAAATCAGTCGGATTGCTGCGTGACCATATATATTTGATGTCCACTTCTTGATTTTTCTCGAACTCCTATATATACGAGAATAATTATGGAGGGTTGTGCTTTGTTCTATCGCTCTTTAATTTATAGAATTTTCTTTGAGTTGTGCGGTACATGCCGAACTGTCTTCAAATATTTTCGTCGAATTTTTCTTGTTACTATTCCACTTTCTTGTTGTATGTAGTGACTCATTTACCTAAGCCATATGCATTCTTGACATGCTTCATCATGCACAATTTGAAGAAGCTGTAATCAGAGTTTGTTTTTAGGACCGTTAAGAGATCGTGATTCCACCAATTGTAAAAACGTAGGTGGTTTACGATTGAGATTTATAAAGATCTGATAAATATCATGCATCTGCAAAACCAACCATACCAAACTCAAGTTTTCTAAGATAAATCAATCCTACATCAATTGTACCTTGTAGATGACGAAATATGTTTTATTCTGCTTCAATGCTTGCAGGTAAGAGAAGAACTATATCTTACATGTAATTTAGTAACAAAAGCAATATCAAATCTAGCACAATTTGCAAAATATTATTGATGCACAAATATTCCTTCTCAGAAATGCTAATCTGAAACCTAAGACAAAACTTTTTCTTGGCGAGATCTTTCATTTCGAACTCTTTGGTCATATGGGTTTGTGCATCATCAACCTCCTTTGAGTTCCTGTAATGTCCACGTCATCTACATATATAGATATGATCATAAAGCCAAATCACGATTTCTTAACAAAAACGCATGGACATATTGCATTGTTCACATATTTTTTTCTTGATAGACATTTACTTAAAAAATTGTACCACATGCGTCCAGATTAATTTAATTTGTAACATGATCGCTGTAACTTGACCAAACAAATATCCATCGATTTTGTTTTTAATGTTTCTAGCATTTTTAATCCTTCGAGGATTTTTATATAAATTTCATCACCCAATGATCTATACAAATATGGAGTCACAGCGTCCATGAAATCCATTTCAGTATTTTTAGAAGCCGCTAGATGCATCAAAAGTCTGAACGTAATTGCATCCATTAACGGGAAATACGTTTTCTCAAAATCAACTCCTGGTATCTGAGAAAACCCTTGGGTGCGTTTCATTTATCTTTCTCACAAATACCCATTTATACCTTTAATATAAAATTAAACATAAATAATGGAGGATACAAAACTTGTTATCATATTTTTTATTATTAACACCATTAATTTTCATATATATACTTTAATCATATTATGTACCTTTTATTTAATGAAAGAAACAAACACATTAATTGTACAATATTAATTAATTTTATAATTAGCTTAATTAAAAATATATTATATATTTTATGGACCAACATATTTCTTTAGAGAGCTTGAGAAGCATTCTCGTGTTGACACATATTATCGTTAAAATGTTGTAGTGCTTCTTTTTTAATATATAAGGTATACCTTACTGAATTTGAATTATATATTATATATTAATTTATAGGATATTCTTAATTATGTCTAACAACTTCCTAAAAGTTTGTAACACCTTCATGAATTTAATATCTAAATTTTATAATGATATTATACATATTTAAAATCGTCTTTGTACATTATTGAGAAATGTAATATATAGGGCGATGTTTGGAACTGTGCTAGGCGCTAGTCGTGCGGTTGGGTTGGACTTTAATGCCTAAAGAGAAAATCAGATTAATTGGGGAGTAAGTGGGGTGAAATTTTTAGATTTTTAATATACTATAAAATCTGTTAATCTTTAGCCTTTTATAATATTAATACATTTTCCTGTTTAGAATTGTATAAAACACACAAATAGAAAATATAAACTTAATACAATATAATTTTCATCAAAGTTATGAATATAAACTGTATTTATTAAGTTTTAGTTCTAATGAATAATAAAATTATTATTAAAAATAATAAAATATATTAGGCGTTCGTCTGTGCGGTTAGACGGTCATCTTGACGGGCTTAGGCGGACTAAAAATCAGACATTCGATATCTTAAACCAATTTGGTCTAAATCCGGGGGTGGAGGGATGAGTGGTGTCTAGCGGCTAGACGCCTGATTTTTAAAATAGAGATATTGAGTAATATTTTTTAGAATGCATATAAATTTTTTTTATGAAGATAACATACAAATTTAGGAAAAAATTCTTAAATATACATACAAGTTATATTCAAAAAGTCTATTTAGAAGTTTGTGAAAGCATTCATAAATTTATATTTTTTTTCTACAAATTCATGAAAATATCATGCATGTTTAGGAAGTTCTTACTAAACTCATGTTTAGGAAGATATCCTATATGTTAGGAAGGTTTTTCTAAATTATTTTTATTAAAAATCGTTTTGCAAGAAAATATTTGAAAAAAAAAAGAAAAAAAATCAGTATTTTTATTTCACTATTTTCAAATTTTTAAATTTTCAAAAGTTCAAATTTTCAATATTAATTTATTTAATAAATAATTATTTAAATGAGAAATAATGAAATAATTGTCCTTTAACCTTTTACTGAAATTTATTTTTGTCACTTTGACTTTTGGATGTTGTTTTGGGAACAAAAACTGAAAATTAGTTAGTTGGAATATTTGCCCTTATATCAAATTTGTTATATTTATAATTTAAATTTTTATAGAATAAATTAAATTACTAATAAAGCTTTGAGTGTTGTGTGGGTAACATAATTACAACTAGATTGTTACCCGCACTGAACACGGGTAATGTTTTATTATTTTAAATTGTCGATTTTTAATTTTTGTATAATTAAGGAAATTATGTTATTATTATTATTTTTAAATATTTAAAGTTGTAGGACATATAATATATTAAACATATCAAATTATTTTTATTATATTTTAAACATTTGATTTTTATTTTAAATTTGTGAACATATATACACTGGAAAAAAATAAATGTCAAATATTGATTCTTGAACATATAAAGGTTAAACTATTAAAAAATACAAAAAACTATTATAACACATATTATTTTCTAACTTCTAACACAAGTTTTAAATTTGTATTAATAAGTTAACAATAATATTTTAATTTTTTAAAACAGTAATTATAAAATGTTATGCTCTGTTAGTTTAATGTATATTTTACTTTTAAATAAAACGAATAGTTATTGAGATGATTTTGAGGATTTTTATTTAAAATGTAAAAACTAAATATATATATATATATATATATATATATATATATATATATATGTTACAACTACATCTGATTTTTTTTGTTAATATTCGAATTTTAAAAGAAAAACTGAAATATCGATCTAATAAGGAAAGTAACACAATTGTTAAAAATATTTTTATATTGATTTAAACATAATCTTTCTATATTCTATATATTTGATTATTTCATAAAATTTTGTTACTTTTAAACGTTTGTTATAATCTCTATAATATTATTTGAGAAGTCAGTTTCCTACATGTCGCGCTCACATTAACTCTTGCGATGGTTGATTACTTAGATACCCTTAATAAATTTTTATATTTTAAGATTATTTTTTATTTAGTTTCTTTTTTACCTTTTCCAAATAACATATATAATAAAAAGGAAATATTTCTAAACATTTTTAAAAAATTAAAAACGAATATACATGTATATAATATGACTTTATTAAAAAGAAAAGTTCACAAAATAGTAATACTCCCATTAATATATATTTTTAAATAACATAAAATATATTTTCAAAATAATAAAAATATATATGTTCATGAACATCCAAAAAATTATCAGTTACACTTTATTTTCTAATATTTTTTAGAAATAAACATATAATTTGATAAATATTATGAAAATACATGTATATTTAAGCGATAAATAAAACTAATTTGATTCGATTTAACTAAAATAAATAGTAAATAAATATTATGAAAATACATGTATATTTAAGCAATAAAGAAAACTAACTTGATTTGACTTAGCATTTATATATATGCATGATATTTCAAAATATTTATCATTATATTCATTTATGTAATTTTGAATCAAACACTGCAGCTTATTATTTATTTCATTTTAAACACAATATATATTAAGTTATACATAATTTAACTATAATATATTTATATTTCTAAGAATATATTTACATATCTTTTTTTGGTCAAAAAATATATTTACATATCTAATTACAATAACCTACCGAATGAAAATAGGAAAATTAATGAAAATTTTATTATATTTAGAATACAAATATTATAGTTGAATTCGAAAAATAGATATTATCAAATATACCGAATTGATAACCAAACCTACTATTCATCCAAAAAGTAACTAAACCGACAATAATATATCTAAAGTCATATGTATAATTAGAATAATATAATATTTATTAATTTATAAATTATACATATAAATTGATTCAAAACTAAAATTAAATATCAATCAATTATTATAAAATTTTACTTTTATGAATATTCATATCCGTGCATGAGCACGGAAAAATCACCTAGTAGAAAATAAAGCTGAAGCCTTTTTCTAATCATGCAACTCATCTACTACTGTATCTTGATTTCACAAAAGTGACACTTCAGGTTTAAATTTTAAAGGTTTTTTTTTTTTTTGTCGTAGGTGCTATTAGACTAATACTGACATTATAAAGGTATTCAGTGATAAGTAAAATCAAGTAGCTGGCAAGTCAACTTTCCAAGGGGCCTTATACAACTTCAGATAGTATGTCTTGTCTTCATCTTTAGTCTTTACACAACGGTCATCAAGCCTTTGCCAATGAAATTTTGCTGTAAAAGCAAAGATACTACATTGTTACCAATACAAAACCTTCTTCTCTATGTATTGTTCCTCCGTGCAAATGGAAGCAATGGAAGAAAATGATCAAGTTTGGCAACATCATGTAGACACTTCTCGTCCATTTAGCTCGGTAAAAGAAGCTGTTGCCACATTCGGCCAACGGATTAAGCTAACAGTAAAAACTCATACCTTAAACTCCAAACTGGTAAGTCCTATTGCTAGCCCTAGCATCAGTCAGACTACTAAACCGGTAAGTACTGTTGCTGCTAGTCCCAGAATCAGCCACGCTGCCTCTCTGCCATCTTCTTCATGGAAGCTGCGCCCTTCTTTGCCTTCTTCTCCTCAAGGTCCAGAAGACGAGTTCATGGAAGTTTTGAAGAAGCTTGAAGCTGAGATAACGGAAACAAGGGCAGAGATGAGGATGTTAAAGGAGAGAGAGTTAGAGACAGATGTGGCTTTGGCTTCTTTAAATGCTGAGTTACATAAGAACATGTCAAAGATGGCTAAGGCCGATGCTGCAGGAGAATGTGAAGCAGTCATGGCCAAGACGGTAAGCTTCAAGGAAACGAAAGAAAAAGAAAACGGAGAGGAAGAGAGGAGGAAAGAGCTGATGAGAAGGATGCAGAATGAGTATATCTCACTGGCTCAGATACTTGACAGTAACAAAGGAAACAGGGATGTGTGTTTTGGAGAAACTAAGACAAATGGGAGCAAGAAGAAGAAACCTATCGTTCCTCTTTTGGGAGATTTCTTCTTCTTCAAGAAAAAAGTGTCCACAACAGAAAATTCTGAACCTCTTTTCACTACCTCTTCCACTCTGCGATTTTAGCTGAAACACTCAAAGCCCAGAGAAATATGTGATACCAGTGTGTATGTATGTGTGAGTTCTTTATTTGTTTGTTTCTTTGGTTCTTTGTTTGGCTTTTGTGTGCAAAGCAGCCAACGTGTGTTCCCTCTTTCATCATATAATAGTTATTACCTATCAATCATTAATCAATAAGAGATTGTAAGAACATCACCACTCCAGATTCGAGAAAAGTAAACAGTGTAGACACAACCAGGGGCAAAGAACTATCTTATAATTATTAACCAAACTTGAAAATTTTGAAAGTCAGTCTCAAGAACTCTTAACAACTAGCATGTGTTAGCAAAAGGAGCCTGTGTTTGGAATTACATGTCAAGTGACAAGGCAAGTGATTAATTTAGCAGATGTGTTTCTTTGATGCAAAGATGAATTACTAAAGCTTAAAACAAACAGCATCTTTTATTATTGTTCCTACTAATTTAACAACAACGCATGGGATCCATTCTAGAAAAGTGAGGTAGAAATTACAACATCAACGAGAAGAAACAAAACGAAGACAGAACTACAAAGCTGACTAACCCAGAGATTTACACCAAAGGGTCTTCTTATAACTTGTTCAGAGTACGCAACTTCTTTACCAAAACACTTAAAGCTTGAGGTTACTCAGGAGTTGACCCCATCTTGGAGTATCCTCGTCAAAAATGTAGGTAAGAGGTGAAACTAATTAATACCCCGCTGCCTCCGACCTGCAATAATATTGCTGGTCATGACTAGAGAACCAAGAGAGGAAAGCTTGAGATGATTTGTAATGTGGAAAGAGAAGGAACAAGCTAGGTCAGGGTGGAAGTGAGATTAGTAAGAAAGAAACTGCAGGGGTTACTAACCGCTCTTAGTTGCTTCACAGACTCGTATAGAGCCTTTTGGCACACAAATCACGATGGCATAGTAGTCAATCGATACTTTTCCATCTTGTGTACAGTAAACTGGGCTTATTGTTGGTCTTAAACCTGCAATCCTGACAATGATGGTTGACTCAACACACGCTCAGGCACTTCTTGAGCACTATTGCCTCTCATGTTTGCAACCACCTAAAATGAAAATATTAAGAGAATAGAAAGCTAAAGGTGGAATAAGGAAATATCATTACAAGAAAGCAAGTGCATACAGTGAATTGCCCGTCCGCCTTCAGATGGGCCTCCAATCTCTCTAGAATCTCGTCTACTGTGTTTAACGCTCCTTTTCTCTCGGTCAATGATCATAGATAAGTGGATATTGATAGTGGAGCGTCACATCATATGATAGAGGTACGTTGAGCTCTCTTATTGATGTATACAGAGTCTCACAGTACTTGGTTGGATTACCTAATGGAACAAGTGTAGTTGTTGACTGAGAAGAAATTATTGTTTTGCCAGAGAAATTGAGGTTGACACGAGTTCTTTTTGTGGAAGATTTGAAGTGTAGTATTATCTATGTGTTACAGTTGATTAATGAGTTGAGTTGCATTGTATTATTTTCGACGAAGTGATGTCCTCTATTTCATGTTGGTGTGCAGATAGTGATCGGAACGAGCGAAAGAAGAACAGGACTGTATTTTCTTCAAAGTATTAAACATCTTCGAAGTGTTAGAAAGAGGCTAAAGTTAAATCCATAGAAGTTTGGCATAGGAGGATGGAACATGCCTTTGAAAAAGTAATTATGAAGTTACCTGGTGTTGATAGTGGAAGTAATAGATTATCTGAGTTTGACATATGCTTCAAAGCAAAGCAATGTCGAAGTAGTTTCAGCTAAGTTCAAGCAAAAGCAAAGAGTGCTTTCAGATGATATATTGTGATTTATGGGATCATTGTTGGGGTTAAAATCGGTCACGACAGAATCAATGGCTAAAAGTCCCAGAAAAAGCGTACAAGAAACTATAAACTTTCTACGGAGATAAAAAGTTACGGAAAACTCGTATCAAAGTATGAAATAATAAAAAAAGACCTCCTTGATTGTTGGGGTCAAAATCGGTTACGACGGAATAAACAACCAAAACTTTCCGCAAAGATAAAATTAGGTCTTAGAAATACAAAAAAGCATCGAGAAGAAATCTAAGGATTTTCCGAACAAAGGAATTCCGTAAACTTAACAATCGTCATCTTAGAAATCATCAGAAAATCGAATAAAACAATCCGTAATTGTCCATGTTGGGGTCAAAAACGGTAACCTCGAAATCAACGTTTACGAATACTTCTCCTTATATTCTCCGAAAGGATCTCGGGTCGAGAAACGAGAAAATATCGAAACCGAACAACCGTCCAGCTCGCCAGTTGGCGAGCTGAACAGCCATGTCCAGCTCGCCAACAGTCGAGCTGGCTCTGCTTGACCAGCTCGCCTGTTGGCAAGCTGAACTGACCCTTCCAGCTCGCCAACAGGTGAGCTGAACTAAACCATCCATGCTTCTTGACTCGATCGTACTCTGAACCGTGATCGGAACATCTCTCGTTTCGTCTCGATCCGTCTTACCGTTGGAGTTTTGCATTAAAAACCGTAAAAGGCTTGTTTCTCATAAAACCTCGAGGAAATCCGTGTAAAACGGCAACGGTTAAACGAAACACTAGACAATGCCAAACTATACGATTAACTCGAGATATTTTCTAAAAACCCGCTAAAGACTTGTGTTCTCGTAAAACATCGAGTAAATTGTATAAAACGGAAACGGTTAACCGAAACACCGGGCATTGCCAAACTATACGATTAACTCGAGATATTTTATAAAAACGACATCGTATCATGGACCGATCTCGTCTAAAGTCATAAAACGGCAAAATCGCAAAATGGCTCGGAAATTCCTAAATCGAGATAAATGCCCACTCATGATTTTAGACAAGATCCAGACCAAAGATATAATGACGGTTTACCCATTATTCGCATAAAATGATAAATGTCAAGTTTGAAGACAAAATAGAATTTTTCCGAAGAAAAATGGAAAGATCGAGATAAATGGAAGATTTCCGATAAGCGCGAATCCGGGCGGAAAAGGAAAAATCAACCGCCTAGAGAATGAGTATATAAGCATAAGGTCGAAGTCAAGAGGAGGCAAAACCTTACAACTTTTCTAGACTTAGAATTCTCTGCACTTAGAAACTTAGGCTTTATTCTCGACAAGTTCGGTTTCTATGACTGGTTCTCAATTAATAGACGAACTCGATCAGGCAGTTCGATCTCTTGTCCAGCTCCGTCAATTGAACTACATTCGGCTTGATCCTCGAAAGCAGTACATAGGCAGCCTTTCATAAGGTTCAGTCCAAAATCTATCAAAACCTTTTTTCTTATGTTTTTCGTCTTATGTTATCGAGCTACGACTCAACTAGGTTTAGGGTTTTATGTTGCTAGAACTAGGTAACTTGCTGACGGCCCATGCGGCAAAAGCCTTTATAATCTCTTGTAACGATGGCAATGCTCTTACGCGAATTCGAAATAAGATCTACTTTCTTTATAAATTCGTTTTTTCATATTTTCCGCATTTATTTGGTTACTTGTCGTTGGCTCTTGAAGAGATCTGGGTCCTCTGGAAAATTAGGGTTTTCCTAAGTTTCCTTATTTTACGGAAATCGACAGTGCGAATTTCGGTTCGCAAAGTTTTGCGTTAGAAGGAGGGGGGGGTACGAATTACTCTAATTCATAGCCACAAAACGCTTGATCAAAACGATGTCTGGATATATAAAAGACAAAGTCGCAGCTCGCAAAAACGCTGGTAAAAGAACTCCAGCAGCGACTACTCCAATAGCCAACTCTCACGCAAACGCTATAGTATTTAACAAAATCGAAAACCTAATCCCGACTTTTCGCCACAGGAGGAGCAACAAAACAGGCTTGTGATTTCTCTCTCTAAACACAAAGGGAAATGATAAAATCTATCAAACCCCCTAATGTTTTTCTTATTTCCGAGTTGGAAAATCTCATTGCGTATGGGTTGACCAAAAGACATTTTCCGAGAACCTTTTGAAAAAATAAAACTTGCTTTCCCAGAAACTGCATAAAAACCTAAGGCAACTCGCGGAAAAAACTCGAGGTTACTCGTGGAAAAACCCTAGGTTACTCGTGGAAGAACCCTAGGTTACTCGCGGAAAAAGCCCTAGGTTACTCGCGGAAAAACCCTAGGTTACTTGCTCAAAAATCTCTAGGTTACTCACGAAAAAACCCTAGGCTACTCGCATAGTTGGCCGTACCATCCAGCTCGCCAATACGGCGAGTTGGACAATACTATCTAGCTCGTCGAGACGGTGAGTTGGCCAAGCAACCCAGCACGTCACCTCGGCGAGCTGGTCGGCCATTCTCCTCACCCTCGAGATACTGACTTTTCACTGAGGGTCCGCACCATCCAACTTGCCACCATAGCGACTTGGCCAAGCATGATCGTTCTCCGAACACTAATTGCACTGCTTCACGTTTCGTCTCAATCAGAGTTTCCGTTGAGATTTTACGACGAAAACAAGTCAGCTCGACGAATCGGAATTGTACTCACCGACTCGCCAGTGGGCGAGTTGGATAAGCTCGACGGATCGAAACATTTCTATCACGAATCTCAATCGGAATGCTTTTCGTTTCGTCCCAATCGAAGTAACCATTGGAACTTTACGATAAAAAAAACGCAAAAACTTGCTTTCTCGTATAAGTTCGAATCGATCGTCTAAAACAGCAACGGTTGACACAACACCAAAGTTTCCTAAACTATACGAGAGATTTGAACTCTCTAAATGCAATTCGGTTTTACGAAATTGTGCCACGTTAAGTCAAAAACATCTAATCATAAACGTGTGATGGATTTTTCAACAATATACGAAGCACACCTAGTCAGTTACGTAAAACCAGCAGTACGAAGAAACAAGAACATAAACTCCGATGTTGAAGTCTATTCCTCACTGTAATATTCTTGTTTGTATTTCTTCAAAGACCGATTCATACGAAAATAAGTCAAAAGACGAAGAACGAAGAAGAAGCATTCCCCAATCATCAATGAAACTAAGGTATGTATGATTTGAAAATTTTATCAGACTTCTAATTTCTCGTAGGCAAGGAATGAAAACGTCTTGTAAATTGCCATAAAACTTAGGGAACTTAGAATTTAGGGGATAGTCTAGCATGCTAAGTCGTAGGTAATTTTTGTCTATTTCGATCTATTTTTCTATAACTGTTAGCATCAATCGCAAACCGATCCAATCTCTCG